ACTGCTCTTGCCACCAGCTAAGGTCAAAAATCCTCCTTTATTTTGCACACTTGTAAATGTCCAAATATGCTGTCTAGACAACAAAGCAGTGAGCATATGCACCAAATGCCATAGTAACTGTTGTCACCCTGCTTTATGTTTAGGCAGTTCTGTTTTCTCTGGTGGTACATTCGGGTTTTGTTAGAAGGTTTTTCACACAGTGCTGCAYTTCTTTGTTAGGCGCCTCAGAAAGGTTATGGTTTTTATAAACTTCCATAATCACTGAACCACTTGCTGGTGTCCAACCAATTGTAATGAAAGTKAAACCTGCCTCCTTGACAGAAGATTTTATTGAAATAGGAAAACACAGCAAGCAATCTACAAAATCCACAGAAGTAGTACCCCATGACCCCAAACTAAGTAGCATAGTAAGCTACTTTTAGATCAATACTTMATTTGGCAGAAAAATCAATTTCCGTCCTTCTGAAATCCATAAAATTCATCAGGAAAAAATTACCCCTTACATATTAGCAGCCCTTCCACCTTACTGGTTTGGAAATTAATTACAACAGGCAATTTCAAACCCTGTAACAGGTTGGGGCAACATGCTAGAAGGTATTTTGCAACCTGTGAATTAAAACATGATTAGATATTATGGGAACACCTATAGCTTCCCTGATTTGCCCAGCCTCCCTCTGGTAGGGGCAAACACAGCTTTTTTAGCTACAGCCTTCTATAGTCTCAAGCAGTATCTAGGTAAAAAAGCTCACCTTTTGGCAGATACTGTGCTCAACCCCACATAACAAAGCTTTTTCTATCAGCATCCAAGTAATTTCTCTTAGGGCAGTGACTGGCATCTTGCCTCGACTCTTCCACATGGGAATTGCAGCCCTGCTGGGAAAGAGTTAAATGCACTTTACTGCATGGCACACTTGGAATTCAGAGACTCCTATCAGTCAGCAAGAGGAGTATGGAGGCTCCACATTTGACTGCCTCGGCAAACTCTTCATCTGGGAACTTTCCTGTACATTCTAGAGAGCTTGCTGATAGGAACGTTTCTAAATATAATGGCTTGTTGCTAAATATGTTTTTAAATACAGTGTACAGGAGACTATTGATTCAGTCAAGAATTTGCTTCATATTTAATAGACCTGATTTCTTTTTAGAATTTTTTCTACATAATAGACTGAATTGCTCAGCAGACACAACAGAGACTGGCTTTTCATTACATCATTGTTTTGCTGCTACTCTGACCTCCATTCCTTCCCCCCAAGTAAATTTAGCTTTTTTTTTCCCCCGACTGTTAGACATTTCTTCCTGAATTTAGATTCACTGTATTTTTTAGAGACTTCAAAGTCTTTGTGAGGATATAGCGACATCTTATCAAAGAGGTCCAGCCTCTGAGAGGTTGTTTTCTTCCACTGTATCCCACAGCTCAGATCTTYACACTTTTTGTATTCACAGTCCTGTATCGTCTCTGACAGAAGTTCAATAAAATTGTCTTTCTATCCTCAATATCAAGGTTCTTAGTGTTGTTGGAACTGAGTGTTATAGACCTACAGTCTATCTCTGCTGAGARACCTGAACACCCCTGTATGCCTCATTATACAGCAGGCCACTGGCAAAAGGTAGCAATAGTTTTCCTGTGAACAGATGCATCACTTCTATTGTTTTCAGCCTACTAATTTTTGTCGTAATTCCTGAAAGTTTTGTTTTTACGCAGTCAGATATCAAAAAAGGTGGAGCATTATTGTTGCTACTGCTACCCTCGATGTTGCCTTTCTTGCTACAAATCTTTTAAGCTGGTTATTTCATTATGTTTTCTTTTTATTCCTAGATGTTATTATTTRAAGTCTTCCCTGTTTTAGACAGTTCTTTTCACTTTTCAAGTCAGTCATCACAYACTGTTCAAATGCAGCACCCTGGCTTCTCACAGCATTGAGCAGAAATGCAGACTGTTTTAAGGCTTCACTTGGTTCCTTCATTCTGAGCCACTGTGTAGAGCAGCAGGGCAGACAATTTGCAAATGAAAAGGGCAAGCTGATATTTGCATACACAGCCTGGTGATGCACCAGTACATGGAGCTCTTGTGTTTWCTGCAGACAGAGCAACCCAGATGTTTGATCCAACCCAGCCAAAAAACACTCCATCCTGCTTCCTTCCAGGATACTTCCCAGTATATTTCAATAATGTTTTAATGAACGGAAATTTTGTGGCTGTATGCAATGACTGAACTTGGTGACCTAGGAGGCAATTTACAATTCTAATACACTATTTTTCATTCCTTATTTTCATCCTTCTTTCTAGACCTGAACATTGTTATTTTAATTCTTTGTTACCTTTCCTCCACCCACTGGTGTATTTACCACTTACCATACATTTTTCTTTWTGGTTTAACATTTGAACAGAGGAAGGGAATGAGAAATAGCGAAGGACTGAGACATCATCATAGTCTGAGAGKTGTTTGTGCATCAGGACTCAGGCTCTGTAGTGACACTGTCAAACTCACGTTATGATCTTGYTTCCTGTTCCTCAGCCACCTACAGTGGGACTATTTTAGTGAGCAGCTTTCATACCCTCATTATTCTTGGGGATGCTGTGTGTGAGKTATCTTTCAAATAAAGTTATTTATCATGAAGTTATTCCCTATGAAATCTATGTAAATATGAAGTTCTGTAGTTAACACAAGAACAATTACAAAGCAATATGCAGATGAGGAAATGCCTTTCAGCCCACTGATTACAGTTCYCTGAAATGAGGTTATAACACATCAAAATCTGGCTAGCAACCACATTATAAAATTAAAAAAAAAAGTTTGGTAAGAAATGCACAGATAAGAAAATGAATATTTATCATTGCAAAAACACTTAAAATTGTGCTTTACCTGTGATTTTTTTTGTCTTTAAATGTTTTCTCTTGAACGCTATCAAGCATTTAGCCTGAAGGATAACTTCTAAAGAGGTATAAACCTTACCCAATGTTCTTTCTTGAACTTAATTGCAAAACCTTTACTGGATGTTTTGCAATGAGTAGATTAGCTACAATCTAGCCTTTTGTGCAGCCTGAGGAAGATGGAGAACAGAAGCACACAAATACCCTTTTTCTGTGAGGATGGTGTGAGACTACTCCWTAGCTGTTCCCAAATCCCTGCATTTCAAGCATGTTGCCCAACAATAACTAATAATTTGTACTTCCTCTCACACACCAACTTACTCTTGTTATCCYATGATCCAAAAATTCTGGCCCTTGCTCTAATTGCTTCAGAAACCCCTTTCATCTAGATCTTCTTTGGTTTCTTCTACATAGAAGAAAACTGGATGTGAAGACAATGAATCTCTGTATCTTTTCCCCTCATACTTTAAAGATCAGGTGTCTTTGGCACTAGAGATACAAAAAAAAAATCATGTCTTGGTGGCTACCCCACACTGTCAATTTGCACAGTGGTTTTCCACCGATCTAAACAATAAAAATATAGTAAAGCAGGTTCTGCATTATTTATATTAAGCAGTGAAAATGCTCCTCATAGCATTAAATGATAGCCTCGCATGCAATTCACACACATTATCTGAAAGCTTATATACCTGCTATATATATAAACCTAATGCAGACAGCCATAATAGTCTGTATGAATAGGRAACGCGTGCTTACTGAACCACAGTCATGAAACTAAAAATGAAATTATAGTTCCTCCATCATAATACCCAAGTCAGTATATAACATTGTGAAAGAACAAGCACACAGTAATACCTGGGTTAATACTGGGTACCATACATTATTGCTCAATGCTATAAAAAAATAGCATCTCCAGATTCTTTATTGAAACATATTACATTACTTAAATTGTCATGACAAAGACAAAAGTGTTCAATTTCAGACTTTTCTACCACCTYSATTTTTATGAAATTGCAGATTTTTTTCTAATAGRMGTATAATTTATTTGCTGATTAAATTGCAATAAAGGAGTTGTTCAGTCCTGGTGTTTTAAAAAAAACATGTTTGGAAGTGTAAGTTCTAAGCCCTGACAGGAGCACTCTCCTTTGTTCCCACTCATATTCTGAACTAGAAGATAGGGATTTAAATGTTTATCCAACTATTTCATCATAAACTACTGAATAAATAATGTTCAGCATAAATAATGCCTCCATATAATGCTAACTCTGCATGCTTCAATATAGGTGAATTTAATATGAACTGTTGCGAAATTGCAAGGCTATCTCACCCACTGCTCAATTTTTTTTTTTCAAACCATGATTGCAAATGGACAATTTGTGTGGGCTATTTAGTTAACTGCCTTTTACTCATAGATGGATTATCCAAAGTGTGCACTAACCAGAAACAAACAGGAAATGCTCAYAGAAACAGACTATGTAAAAGATCATGTAGYATAGGAYTGTGTCCAGATGGCTCTGGAATATCCCAGAGTGACAGAGACTCCACACCGTCTTTGGGTGATCTGCTCCCATGGTTGGTTACTGCACAGCGAAGTTCTTTATGTTCAGGCAAAACTTCCTGGGCATCAGCTTCTGTCCATTGCCTCTTGAACTATCGCTGGGCATCACCGAGCACAACCTGGTCCATCTTCTCGAAACCAAGAATTTAGACATATTAACGAGGTTTCCTCTTGTCTCTTCTCGAGGCTAAACACGCAGAACTCCCTCAGCTTTTTCGCGTCAGAGAGAGAACGAACCTTCCCTCACACGGGCCTGTTCCTTTCCCAATGGTGCGGATCCCCCTGACCTGACGCTTCGCGGCCCTCGCGGCCCCTCACAACCCCAGGGGCCCCTCACAACCCCAGGGGCCCCTCACAACCCTCGCGGCCCGGCACAATTCCCGCGGCCCAGCACAACCCCCGCGACCCGGCACAGCTCCCGCGGCCCCTCATAACCCTGGCGGTCCCTCACAACCCTCGCGGCCCCTCATAACACTCGCAGCCCCTCACAGCCCCCACGGCCCCTCACACCCCTCACGGCCCGGCACAGCTCCCGCGGACCCGCCCGGTCCCTCTCCGCCTCCGCCGGGGCTTCCGCCCGGGGCGCGGGGCAGGGCGGGGACAGCGGCGAAGATGGCGGCTCCCTTGGCCGGGCAGGCGGGTGCTGTTCTGCGGGACCTGGCCCTGCGATCCGCCCGCCTGCGGGGCGAATTCCCGGTGAGTGAGCGAGCCCAGCCCCTCGCCCCGCCGGCCCTGCTGCTGGCAGCCTCCGGCCGTGCCCGCCTCAGCCCCGCGGCTCCGCTCGCAGCCTCCCCTCCCGTGTGTGGAGCGGGAGGGACCGTTCTCCTCCCGCCTCGGCTGCGGCTGCTCGGGCTGGAGRACGCGTCCAGCCTGGAGCCCCGGCGCTGTGCGGGGTCAGGGCGAAGCTCATTCAGAGCTGGGCAGACCAAAGCCATCTCTGAGCGCCATCCTGCCCCCGCACCTGACAGAACTGTGCATTATTTCTGTGGCAGGGCTGGRTGACGCTGTGCACGAAGTGATACCGTTTGTCTGAACACGTTTCGGGTGGCGGCATCGGGTTGGTTTGTCTCAGTGTGGGTGGCTGAGGTCAGGCTGGGGTGAAGATGCCGGGTTGTGCTCTCCTGGGAAAATCGATCCTAGCTCAGCTTCCYGGTGATCTTGAACCTCAGCAGAGCGATGGGAAAGAGTAGGTGAGCCTCCTGGAAAGGCTCGGGGGCTTTCTTGGGGTGTAGCAGGAGTTCATTATTCACCTCGACAGCAGCCTTGCAAAGGTAGAATGAGATATGCACATTTTAGACAGCTCCTGTGCCTTCGGCAGCCAACTGTTATTTTATCTTTTTATCTTGACGAGCTGCATAAGAATCTACTTCGGTCCACATTTCTGAGTATAAACATTTTCCCAGAAGCAAAAGCCCCTGGAGCAAACAAAGCACGTTTGTGGCCGGTTCTCTCCGCAGGTTCCACTGCTGGGAATGCTCCTGGCACAGGGGCACTGCACAGAGCCATGTGGGACGGCTGGTGGATAAAGGGTGCTGAGCTGAACTGGTGTTGCACAACTGCTGCTGTGTGGTTTATCTTTTAACCTGAAGGAAGTTACCCACCTCGGTTGTAAATGTGAAGCCTTTTGCACCCAGTTTTCCCATTTGAATGCTGGGTGCRGTATTTGAGAGCTCAGTGCAATTGATTTGTTGATGTAGCATTTGTCCATTTCATAYGCACATGCATAAACAGGGACAGTGTTTATGTGTGTATTGCATCAATTGCATCTATATACATACATCTGTATATATACARATATAATTCCATTAGTGTAGGTGAGCAATGCTGTCAGTCACAGCCATGTTTGAGGCATGTGTGTTTTATGGCTGAAGATGGAAAGGCTGGAGTACGGAACATTGTCTGGAGAGAGTAATTTCAGTGTGAACTATGGAAAGCGTTTTGGTTGAGGTGCTTTGGTTGGTTTCAAGCCCTGTSTATCTGGTGCTGCAGTGGGGATTTGAGATACGGTGGAAATTAGGAGCTCATGCTCTATTCTGTCATCTCTCAAAGCATGGAGGGACTCTTAAATTACTCCACTAACTGAATATAAGCGCAGATTCTCAAGAGTATTCTTGAAATATCAAGGTGGCAAACTTAAAAAAAAAAGTGCATTACTTTTGAACAAGAGATGTTGAACTTGTRTGATTAGTCATATTTTTCTTATTCTGTTTCTGAACTCTGACAGATATTCAGAGCATCTCCCAAGATCTGTGCTTTCCAAGTAGGCTATTTTCAAGAACCACGTCAATACTGCATAACAACAAATCAAGTTCTTCATTTCAAAGCAAACCACTTTCCTATATAAAGGTCTTCAATTTTGCCATGTTACATAATAGAATTCCCATCTAAACAGTCGCCTAATCTTCCACTGTCTCAGACTGTAAGCTACAAATGAGTTGATCAGCAAGAGTCTGGATTTCTGTGCTACAAAATAGGATAAAGGATCAGAGAGTAAGAGCCTTTCCATTTCAAGTTTTTCTCATTTGTATCATTCACTCTGTCACTCAGAAGAGAAGTTATTCTGTTACTTTATTTAGCATAAATCATCAAAACCTGTCCTCAAAGCCCATCACTGTTGCTTTCACAGATAAGGGTCTTCCATATGGTGAGGATGTGATCACGAAATACCAGTCTTAAACTCTGTTGTTTTGGTAACCCTGTGTGAGATTTAGGCTCTTTCCTCATAACCTTTATGACTTACTGTTGGAGAGGTGCTCCTACACTTAGTTGCAAAATTTTTTATTATTTCAGAACTGTTGCTGTTTTTAACTGTGTTGAAATGAAGTCTTTGAGAAATTTGGTTGTATGCTGCCATTGTAATCTGCACACATTTTCCTGGGTAGCTTCATTTTGGGGTTGGAGTAAATGGTATTTGATTCTATCACATGAAAATATTTTATCATCCTTCTACTTTCTCTTTACCTTTTTATAACTGTTATACATTTTTTACTCTTTGTGCTATTTATATTCTTGGTAGATGCAATTCTTCGTGCTTGTGGAGTTTCAAATTTGACCAAGTGTTTCAAGAAGATAAAAGATAGATTTCAGTTGTCTGCAGTGCACGTGGACAGGAGCATTCAGGCCTGCTCTTGCTGGAGCAATATTTGTAAAGAGCTGTGACAAACGCTCCGGGGACCACTCGGCAGTAGAATTCAATCTTGTTGGCTGGCAACAAATRGGTTCCATTGAAGGCTGTTTATTTGAATGGGAGTTGGATTGGGCCCTTTGGGAGAATGCTGTGTTTTCAAAATAGCTTCAGATGCAGTGAAATTCAGCGATGAATATAAATGAGGAATAATTAAATCAGAATCATAAAAAAAAAGAAGCTTAAGGTAACTCTCTAGTATTCTAATGGAGTGAGCAGGGTAGATGGTGTGTGAGRAGCCCTATCCCAGCCTTCAAAAGGGGCCTCAGTCCTGCCAGAGCATGTCCAGATTCTGCATGTSTTAAAAAYTGAAAATAYTTTTTTAAAAAAGTAAAGGGAGGAAGATGGAATTAAGCAATATTTCTGTTATAAAATCTGCTGGAGTCTATAGATATTAAATTAGGGAACAGTGCAAGGTTGCTCACTGCARATACCTTCAGTTCCTAGATGTGGATTCCTACAAAGCCTCATTAATGTTGAACAGTGAAAGTTCTGCCTTTTTTAGGAAACTATCAGCTGTGATAACTGATCTTCCATGCAATACAAAATATTACTGATAAGAACTTTTCAATTCATGGCTTCAGAAGCCACTTTAGTGTTGAATTCTTATTTTTTTCTTCATTTTCCTTGGAGTTCTTGAAAATTTCTTGAAGGTTTGGACTGCTTCCCTATTTGGCTTTTCCTGGTTGGCAGTTTTGCTATATTTTCAAGGTTTTACATTTAGAGGCAGGAAATACATGAGCCTACAGACTTTCACAAACAGCTTTTCCTACAGGCACCTCATCCAAATGACAGGAAAGCCCTCTTCAAACTCTAGACTAAACTGAAACGCCAAAGTGGAGCAGATGTTTGGCCCACTCCTCCCCGGCAGTTCCATTAAACACATGGTTATTGAATCCTATTTTGAGATGAAAGAAGGAAATTAAAACATAAATATAACCTCAGAGTGTGATTTTTTGGGATATTTTTTTCTCCCAGTTAGTTTTATACCAGTGGAACTTCTACCCTGGGAGCATTCTGGCTCTGGCACAGATACTCACAGCTTTGTCTTGAAGTAGAAAAGCTGCACTTTGCTGTTTTGATATACTTTCCTTTGTACCTCATAGAGGTATAATCAGGGGATARGGCTAATTAGATAAGAGACAACCTTCATAAATATTGAGAGTTAGCCACACMTGTGGTCTTAAACCTGGCTCTGAATGAATAAATCCTTCTTCCTGTCCCTCCATCTGAACTCCCAACCAGTTGGGAGTATGTTTAAGATTGGTATGTTTAGGATTGGGTATGTTTAGGATTGGTGAAAGTTTTTTTTTTTTTATAGAAAAGCAAGTGGGTTTTTTTTCATTGATCTGCCTCCTGAGGAACTAAATAAAGTGTCAATAGACAAACTGTTTTCTTTACCRTTATCTGAGTGACTGTTTCCTCCMRTTTTTCTCTGGRAATGTCAGGGTGTRTGGTAATTTTCCTTTTTYCYTTTTTTTTTTAAGTCACCKTTCATTTGGTCTAGCTGGCTGATGAGTGCCAACAGGGATTCYATGAGGAATGTGTGAAGATACTGAGATTCTTTTGGAAATGCAGAGARATGAGATGAAGGTTTAGACACACTTGGGGTGTAGTTATTTCTTAGAGGTAGGTAGTTTATCTTCTATTTTATCCTTTCTTTCATTTGGAAGGCTCATTTTCAGCAAAAATGGGCAATGTATTAATTAAATGTTTAGAGGTAAGAGTGTCTCCCTCCCTGTTTTGGGTACTCACTCATTCCAAGATGACTTAACCTCAATGATAATTTTTATTGTTGACCACACTTGTAGTGAGTAGCTCATCTCATGATTGCCTTAGCCAGACCAATTTTTCTGTGCATATTTGTGACTATCATCTACAGCTTTGAGCATATACCCTGAGGATTTGCTCCAGAAAATGTGCTCTTTTATTACTCACTGCTGAGAAAAGCAGTTTCTAGCCATCTGTGACTCAGCTTATATTCATCTCTTCCATAGCCTTTTTATAAAACACCGGACAGAGAAGTCATGTTACCTGTGCAACTGCTTATGAGAGTAACTTTGGAACTGGTAATTAAACATTGATCCATGATTAATAGCTGGCTATTGATTTTATTTTAACTAGGTGACAGCAGGAGTGGGCGTGAAACAAATAGAAGTTAAGATTGACTATTGTGAAAAATTCCTTAATAGTGCAGTTATGCTATGGTGTTGAATTCTTCGTTGCATGAGTGAGACTTAAAACAGATTCTGAACTGCAAGCTGAAGCCATCYTTTAATGTGGTAATGAAAATGAAAACTCAAGATTGCTGTTTTAGTTTGCTTATGACATTATGCTGATGGTGATGTTTTTGTATAATTAGTGGCTAAATGTTAACTGTGTAGGAATGTAAAGACTTGCTATTTTTCCACTTACTTGTTGGAACATTTTTTTTGAATCTTCAGTCAACAATTTATATAGATAGCACAAAACATATTCAATAAATGCAAGTTTTGTTTTGTTTAAAAGGTGC